TAGGAGCTGACCGGCCGCGGACTCCGAGGGAGGACATTGGCTTTTGTTTCAAAACCGAGCCCAGCTGCTGACTAAGGGCTGAGATAGCCCAGCCTCCTCCTCCCCTGGGCGGCTGCACGTGCTGGCTGGCTCTTGCCTCTCTACCACCTTCCCTTGCAACTTGGCTGGAGGTGTCCACACAGCGGGGCGTAGCCACACACCTCTACCCGGGACTCAAGTAAAGACGAGATTTACAACCGCTTGCAAATGGCTGAGTGAAGAGGTGAAATTGACTTCTGGTCTCTCAGGTAGTGTCAGAATCCTTGGAAGCCCGCAAACAAGCCTTACCATCCATGCAAAAACTCTTTTAACACTCTTCCAGATAGACTGTCCTCCCACCCCCCCATGTATTCACATAGTAAATGCTTATAGAGTACCTACAGGATGTTAGATACCCTGCTAAGCTCTAAGGAGGTGACAGTATATACAACCAACCTATTTCCTGACCTCTGGGAACTTTTAGTCATCCTGCTAAAATTCATATGCCTTAAACCCCCTCACTCACCACCCCTGAACAGACCACTGGGCGATTAAAGGACCACTGTGTTCAGCTATCTTAAAGGATATAATAATTTAATAAACTTTATTGATGCTGAGTACCAAGGGCTTGGGACACAAACAGCACCAATGTATCCTTGGTCTTTCTCTATATGGAAAGGCAGGGGGGGAAAGGAGCCATATTTTATTTTAAGCGCCATTTATTTGTTCCATCCCATGCCTCCCATCCCCCCCCAAACATGAAAGCATTTCAAAAGAAAATAAACTTTTCCATCCCTCAGCCTTTTCCAGGAAAACATCTTCAGTTTCCCAGGTGGATTACTTTCTCCACCTAGAATTCCCGATGAATTTCCGGTCATTAAACATTTCTACTCTCCTTCCATTAGTTTATACATATATTCTCTTCTTAGAGGTAAACACTATGGGCACGGAGAAAATGTTTTACAAGGAAAGGTATCACGGGTAACCTGCTCTGTTTGAACCATATTCACTGCACTATTGTTGGAAGCAGAGTTATCAAGACTCTAAACTCTGGTACCATGAAGACAGGGCAGTAAAAAGTAAAGTAGGGGTGTCTCAAGAACTTCAACACACACAAGGGTCCCATCACTCACTTGGCACAAACTGACTTCCTTTAGTCTATTTTAAAAATGACTCCATTTTGAAAGGCCTAATCAATATATATTCTTTTCAGGAACACATTTCCTGGGAAAAGTTAATTAACCCTGTTCACTCCTAGCAATCACTCCTCTTCATTGCAAGCTGTTTCTTTTCAAAATGCCCTAGGGGCTAAGATAGTAACTTAAGAAATGAGAATCAACATGTGTTACAACCCTCACATGTGGCCAGCACAGGACTATGTGGCATAAAACCTATTTTTGTCATTTAATGGGCACAACAACTGAGGAAGCAGATGCTATTATTATCATAACCATTTTAAAGATAAGGTAACTTAGGTTCAAAAAAATTTATTTCCTAAAGTTTTGACAGTTGTATTTGCATCTGGGTCATTCTGTGCCAAAGTCTTATTTTATCTCTAACCTGCTTTTTAATATCTTGCCTTTCCTCAGTGTCTTCCATTCCCTCAGTTACAATTTAAAGAGTTAAGTGGCGTGCCACTTAAGTAACAGGCAGGTGCTGAGAGCAGAAAGACACCTACACAAGGACACTAGTTGGCAGGCCATTGCCTTTTCCTCCCAGGGGCCGTTAAAACCCTCAGGCTTCCCAAAGACAATCCTCCTGAAGGGTATAAAGATCAAGTAGTCATTTTGGAATTGCACCTAAATCTAAGGGAAACTCATTGGAAGAGCTTTCAGGAAAATAAACTCGAATCAACAGCAATTCAGATATGAGGAAAAGTCATTGTTCTGGAATTCCTTACAAGCAGGGGCTGGGAGCTAAAGAAGACATTGTCTCATGGTGCTATGTAGCCCCTAAACCTTATACATTAAACCCCCAATTCTGAAAACAGAGAAAATGCAGCAAATTGTAAAGACTGTATTTTGCCAACAGGAAAGAAAAGGAACAAGAGCAAATAATTCCTAGAATCATTGCCATGAACATTATCTCTCATCTTTTATTAGTAGGAAAAAATACATCGTTGTATACTAAAATTGTTTCTTGCTAATAAAATCATAACATTTGCTTTAAACATAAACATTGGTACCTA